ATTTTGGTTTATTACGGAAGCCTTTTGCATTCACAAAAGCAAAAGTGGTGACCAAAACTTAGAGTTATGAGAAAGCAATCCTAAAAATATCCTTTTGTATGTTTGATGAAAGCCAACTCGGGCTGCATTTCACCAATTGCGTCTCGTTCGACACATTTTTGAAGCAGAAAGACTTTTAAATCTTACCTTGGTGATCCCAGGCCTGTGCAGACAAAGAAAAGGGGTCCTTGTAGTTGTAGAGACCCTGTTTCCAAACCACCGTCATCCACTCTCCTGATGACAGGACGCGCACCACATGCTCATGTCTGCTGCAGCCATAAACGCTAAAAACGACAAGAGGGAAAGATGGCCAGAGGCAGTCAGAGGAACAGATTATTAGATTTAGGAATGAACAGGGTAACAGTAAACATCTCTCAGAGTGATGGGTGTTTGTTTAAGATGCATTCGTTTTGTGGTGATGTGTTGTCGCTCTTTACACGACGACACACTGATGATCCAAAAGCGTAGAAGTGCATCATCAGGGGAGGCATCTGATGGATCCAAACTCATTGTCACTTCAGCAACAAGGAGAAGATGGAGTCCTGTGACAGACGGTTTGGCCCCCACAAAGCCCTGATCTCAACATTATAGAGCCAGTATGGGATTAAAGGAGGAGACAAAAGCAACTGAAGTACTACCTCAACTTCTCCAGTGTTTGGATCGACCTACCTGCCATGTAAGCTTAAAAACTGCATACCGAGTGGAACTGGTGCTATTTTAAAGGTCACACTACTGATCTGTGTTTGCTTTCTGTTGACTGCACTTTGTATGAAGTTAAGCGACGAATAAAAAAACTGCTCATTCAATTAATTTGAATGCATTATCACCTTAAAGCTGCCTAACTCTACTTGTCTTTGCGGCGTGAACTCACGACGTGATGAGCTGGTTATCGGAGGGCGTGAGGGAGTTGTACACCACCAGACGGTCCCGGCACTCCGGCAGCAGCCACTCCATGTGGAGCTCCAGCTGGGCCCCGGGGGCAGCCTGGAGGTGCCACAGGCAGGAGGAGCGCTGCGTGTCGGGGCCATGGAGGGCCACGGGGCTGCTGGACACCACCTTCTGGTAGCGGTAACAGTCTGGGGACAAAGGAGCCAGAACTGAGACTTAGAGCTGAAGCATTAGCTTGTGCAAAAACAACAGAAAAAAAGTTGATGTAAACTCATGATCTAGATTTTTTTTACAGTTTATCAACTTCACTAGTCTCTCAACTTAATATGTCAATGGGACTGTAGTAAAAACAATAAAGAGTTTGGGGTGG